CGTGAAAACCTTGTTTCGCAATCTTCTCACTCTAAAGGCTGAATAAAAAAAAGATTGTTTACAGACCCCCGAAACGCCGGCTTCGTATGGATGAGAGGCTGGTTTGGTGAAAAATTTGTGCGTTTAGGCCAGGGTTCGTCTTCGTGTGGACGGGGCCTTTGTCAGTCAACCATAAATACTATTCTTGTGCAGTTCCCCGGTGCTGGTTCCTCATCTTTCCCTGGCTCCTTGTGCATGTTTCCCCTGATGTCTCCATGGTTCTTTTTTTTTTCTGTACCTTTTATGTTGGGTTTTTGGATTCCTGCCTCAGTTGCCTGTGAGTAATTTCTATTAAAACTTCAAGAACTCACCACTGCATCTGCATTTGGGTCCTCAAAACCTCAACCAAACCCTGACGTGTCGGGACGGAACGCAATGGTAAAGTAAATGATTGTTATTTTAAACATTGTGTATATTAGCTGCGACATGTGAATCAAGATGCTATAAAAAATTTGACACATGACCGTTATATGATATATGATTAACCGAATTTAGGTGTACAAGCTGACGTATAAATAACGGTCCTGCATATGATAACGAAAAAAAAAAAACACAGATTTTAAGACTTTAAATAAAAATTTTCTAAATTTTAGGACAACATAGTCTAATAAAGACTACATATGTATACATTTTTAAGCCAGAATGATTTGACATTTAAATATGACTTCCTTACCACTAAGACAAGTTCAGAAGGATTAAATAAGTTAAGTAATAAATTATGACACCTTAAATTGAAAAAAAATCTGCCAAATGTGACAAATTTTCTATATCTGATTACCTAATGTCAGAATGATGATTACTAAAATAACCATTAGCTAAAGCTTTAATCCAGTCTATTCAGACTTTTAGTTTGTTCTTTATTAGGTTTTTTTTTAGATGAGAACCTGGATTATTTAATTAGCCTATTTTTCTTATTGCTACTGATGCACCTGAAACCCTCCACTATTTCTCGTCTCTTCTAAAATCTGGATGCTTAGGCAGACAGCAGCAGTTCAACCATCTATAAAAAGCCGAGGTTCTGTTTAGCTGGTTGACTGCTCTCAGTTGTCTTTGTGAACCTGAGCAGAATCAGAGGGTTGACTGACGACAGGAGACGTTACCTCAAAGGTGTGGTCCAGTCTGTAGACAGGCGAGGAATTCATGGCGCTGACGACCTCCAGAACTCCATTGAAGTTATTGAGCTCCTGAAAAACTTGCAAGATCTCAATGATCCGAGAAACAACAGCAACTCTTTCCTCCAAATTCTCTGTTTCCACGATGCACCTGCAGAAAGAGACGGAGAGACAGATCCTGAGTAGACGACGCCTCCGGGGCAACCCGCTGATGTGGCAGCCATGTCTTACTTTTCAAACCACAGCGTGAGGTTAGTCGTGTGTCGGATCATCCTCAGCAGGTTGGGAGAGTGGAGCTCTTTGTCTTCTTTAGTCCAGACGCTGCCGACCAGCTCCGATGGCTGCACCGCCCTGCAGGGCGAGGTCAGAGGTCAGACAGGTGCAGCCCAGCAGAGATGCTTCGCTGGGGGAAAAAAGGAGTTACCTGTAGAAGTCAGACTCGAGTAGAGTAAGCTGTCGGGCGATCTCGATGGGGTGGAGAGTCATGAGGTCGAACTGCTCAGTGTTCCCTTGTTTACAGATGTGCCACTCGATGGGCGGAGGAGAGTTCTGGAAGGTGATGCTGTGATTGGGCAGGCTCACCTGAACCAGCTTCTTCCTCTGGATGATCTTAGTGATGGACTCCACCCACTTCCTCATGGCCTTACCTGAAACAAGAGGAAACAATCAGATTCACTGGCTGGCATTATCTGCTGATGAAAACCTTGATGCCCAGCAGAGGGCGCCGTGATGCTCGGTCTCACTTCATATCAAACTTTAATCATAGATTGACTTCACCCTCAGCATGTGATCATTTATATGCTTATCGTATTGAAGCAGAACTTTACATGAAGAACTGTCAGATAAATCAATAAAGGCCTGTTAGCTGACTAGAATCTAAAATAAAAGTCCAAACAACAATGTTTTCTCAACACCACATTCCTCTCCCCAATGATTAAAAGAGTGATCACATCACAGATCCACACATAAAATGTGACAAAGTGTGCAACAATCACACAGATTGTTGTTAACGTGTAACACCCACTGATCTCTATTTATTCACTGGATTGCTGATTGCCCGGAAAAAAGTGAAGCCACCGTCCGTCATGTTAGTACTCCCCACTCCCATGGAGACACGCAGTAAAAATGCCTACATGTTAGCATTTGGCTGCAAATACAAGCAGTTTGCCGGCTGTGGGAAGTTGTTTCACAGGTAATTTCACAGTCAGTGAATGGTAAATGGTAAATGGCATGTACTTATATAGCACCTTTATTCAAGTCAGGAGACTTGACCAAAGCGCTTTACACTACCTTCAGTCATTCACGCACACACTCACACACTGATGGTGGCAAGCTACATTGTAGCCATGGGGCTCACTGACAGAAGCGGGGCTGCCGTACACTGGCGCCACCGGGCCCTCTGACCACCATCAGTAGACAATGCAGGTGAAGTGTCTTGCCCAAGGACACAACGACACTGAAAGTCGGAGTCGGGGCTTGAACCGTCAATCCTTCGATTTCAGGGCAAAGTCCTACGTCCAACGCCACTGTCGCCCCTGGATGTACTAACCAAGAAAATCCACACATACGCCGATGTATGCCATAGTATACTATATAGTGTAACATTAGTCCGGCTATCTAGGACTAACTCGAAGATATTGACTAAATTAGCTATTGACATTGTGTCTAATGTAAGAAAATAGAAAGTAGAGTAAATAGTTTTTGTTGATAACTGTGGAAAGTCCCAATAGCCAAAATGAAAGGGTTTAAAGGCGTGAAAAATCTCCTTAACTTCTTGTTTCACATGAGCCCTCAAGTTTGGAAATGTTTACCTTAATTTTCGCACTATAAGCCTCACCGGACTATAAGCCGCAGGTTTTTTAATGTTTAATTACCAAATGGTTCGTGCACAGAGAGGATTGTCGGGAAAGAGGCAACTGTTTGGGGAAGCTCCTATTTATTAACATTTCAACACGATTTGCATATTTGCATACCTTAACTGTTACAATTTAGTGCAATAAAAGCTCCCATTTATTAACCGGTAAGTTTGTTTCTCCATAATGAGGGTGTCACACAAACTGTGTTGCGCTCGCAATGTCCGTCTTTCTCACTGTCATTCTGTCTCGTACCACTCGCGGTAGAAGTCTGCTTTCCTCCGCATTCCCGCGCGAGCGGCTACCGTACTTGTGTGTTGAATGTGACGTCAACATGGTGGATGGTAAAATCCATAGATTTAGGTATTACGCTAGTGGCCGTTAGCTGTAAATAGACCATAGATAAGCCTCATTGTTATATAAGCCGCAAGGTCGAAAAAGGGGGAAAAAGTCGCGGCTTATAGTACGAAAATTACGGTACTCAACAATGAAAAAAAGTTTTGGAGAATTTGTTCTGTGACTTTCCTTTGACAATGATTTGTCAGACCCCCCCACCCCACCCCTCCCAGAGCAGCTGTTTGAACTTCATGCAGATGTTTGAGCAAAGTACCAACCTCTGACTGAAGCGATGAAGTCCTCTAGTCGACTCAGCAGGTGAGGGTCTCTTTCAAAATCATAGAAGTGATGCTCCACCCAGTGACGACACACATTCAGAACTCTGCAGGGCGAGATGTGGGTCACAGGTCAGTAGTTATCATTAAAACCTCAATGGATTCACAGTCAAAAGCAAGCTGCACTGTAACTGTACTGATCTGAATGCTAGAAATAGTCGGACTGAACATTGACTGCTAAGATGCAGAGGTTTGCTGCTTCCAGCTGGGGGCGCTCTGTACCTGAGCTGAACTGGCTGAACGAACTCTTTACGGAAACGTTTGAGGTCGGCGCTAAGAAGCTGCTCTCCTCCCTCCATCTGCTCTGCATCAGTCGACCTTGGCTCTGGGATCTCAAACCTGAAAACAGACACAGACGTCAGAAACCAGCAGATCTGGGCGTTATTCAGTCAGCTGCAGTACAACCTCAGCTTCACAACTGTAATAAAACTTTGTTATAACTTTCAACCAACAAGAAATATCTAGGTAGCTGGGCTCAAATTTTAGGAGCAAAAATTTTTTTTTTGAATTGAAAAGAAAAGTTTATTTCATAAATACATTGTTTTCTATAAATGTTATATATTAACTAATTACAGACCCTGCAATTTAACATTTTAATTGAATCCCACCACTAGATATGATACAAGAAATATAAAGAGAGAAATGTGATGTGGAATCAAGGTTTTTCCTTGGCCTATTTTGTGTGATAAACTGTTTGAACAGAAGTAATGATAGAGAAATCCTGTACCAATCACTATGCTGGACTGTTTAGGAGGACAGAAAGCAGGTTCCTCCCCTCCTTACTCTAGAATCTAGAGTAAGGAGGGGAGGAACCTGCTTTCTAGAGTCTAGATAAGGGTGAGGGGAAGGTCATTAGAAATAATGACTTCACAAAGCCTCCTTCATGCTATGGTTAAAATTTATGCCCTTATCGTTCTCCTGTCCTGTTTCTGGTGTGAACAGAAAACAGTTGTCTGAAATGTTTATCTGAGCAAATTTATGTCCTTTAATGAACTAAAGTGTTTCTCTTGGGAATATTCAATGTTCGTGTGTGTGTGTGTATAACTAGGGGTGTAAATCACATCCATCATGGCGATTCAATTCAGTATCGATTTCCTGACCCAACGATTCGATTCAATTCGATAAATTTTTTTTATGTTTTTTTTTTAGACCTTACAGGCTAAACAAAGTTTCAAGTTTGAAATAAATCAATCGAAGCTGTAATGTCGTTATGCATTTTTTTTTTTAGAAACAACAGCAAATAACAGAAGTAGAAAAGTTGCATCAAAAAATACTGCACATAATCAGTGCAATGAGTGCAATTCAATACCTCGGCTCCAGACGTCCCCGCCCCCTCCACAGACGCTCCGTTGCTCCTCTCCCAAATTGTAGCTGACCGTAAACAGTGCCGCAGATAGGAGGCTGGCTTGGTTTGTTTTTATGACCGAAATTGCGGAAAACAACTCGTGAAATTTGACCCGCTAGAAGAGCGAGGTGCACGAGAACGCTGGGACCCTTTTTCCACCTGGATCTCCGCCCTTTTTGGCCCTCATGTCCCTCCATCGTCGGACTAAACTCGCCCCCCACTTCCTTGCCGCCTCGGCCGTATCTAGACCCACAGCGTGTAGCTCAGACCACGCTTCAATAATGAGCATAATTTAAAAATGTCTGTGTCAAGCTTGCTGCAACACACTGCTATAAGAGTATAACCAGGAAGCGAGGTAGGAGGGCAAAATAGGTTTAGCGCCACCGCAGCATGGGAGGGAGAATTACACCCAGGAGCAAATGGATAAAAATAGACCAGAGGGAAAAAAAAAACATGAATCGATTCTCTTGCGGACGTATCGATGCATCGGATCGTTGGCTGTTGCATCGATGTATCGATACAAAACGATTATTATTTACACCTCTAGTGTATGCTGTGGATTCTTTTTAAATGTAGGGGTGTGTTTCTGAATGCTTCAGAATCGCACTCAGCTGTATTCAGGTGGTTTGTGCCATTCTCCTCTGCAGAGTAAAATAAAACGTTTCTTCCTTGCATATCAACTCTCAGTGCTCATTTTTTACTCCACAGTGAGATCTCATATAATACATAAAAATAGAAATATACCAAGTCCCACCAATGACAAACGAGACAAAACAGGGATTTAATCTGGCAACCAACTGGCTACTGGGTATACTTAATTCATTTATAAAGCACTTTAAAAATCCATGTAAACTGGTGCAAATAGAAAAGAATTAAAAAAATAAAGAAAATAAAGAACAGGCGGTTTAAAATGAGAACAAAACTGATTAAAAAAACAGTCTCAGATTAAGTAGAATAAGTAGAAAGTCCATTGTTAGTTTCTAAAGAAGGATTATTCCACCTACAGGGGGCAGCAGCACTAAAACTCTGTCCCTCTGAGTGGGATCTGCTCCCTCTTACCAACTCCTGTTGGACCTGGCAGCAGTAGCAACTGGAGACGGTTTAGGGAGAACTTCAGGGTAGAGAGTAGGGGTGTCAACAATAATCGATTCAGCGATGCATTGCAATGTGGGGCATGCACGATTCAGCATTGATGCGGCAACGTGCCATAATCGATTATGTCACTGTTTATTTGAGGCTGCTGTTTAACAGGGTTCCTAGTGACAGAGCTCCGCCGGTATACGGGGGTCTGAGCGCCTCCGACAGAAACAATATTTAAAACCAGGCTGGTAATCTGGATAAACTGACTGCACAGATGAAGTTTTCCGGCGGACTTTCTCACTTAAAAACATTTTAAATCTACTTTTTACCCACTGATCACAGCAAATATAGCTGACATTGTTACAGGCAAAGAAAGGATAGGATAGCTCCGTCCAACGCGCATCAGACCCACTTTTCCACCGCGCAGCTAGAGCAGCAAAGATGCTTCAGCCACATCTCAGAACTAAACTTGTACAAGCATCACAAATGAAGCAGCACACCAGTTTTACGGCCTCTGCTGCACGTGCTTTGAACGTAGCATAAGGGAAAGAAACTCCATGGAAACGTCACCTGATGTTAACTGTGAGTGAAACATGACTTCACACCATTTGAAACCTTCCCCTGGTCTGATTGGCCCCTAGCACTCCGCAGGTGAACTCACCTCTCTATGAGCAGGTCCAGCAGCTCCCGGGGTTTACAGAACGACCTGTAGGTGGTCAGGAAGGTCCGGACGAAGTTTGGATCTGTGAAAACACGGCAGCGAACTCATCAGAGGCCAAACCCAGCACTGGCCTCAACCTGGTTCAGCTCTGAGCTCCTAGTTGAAGTTCTGATCGGAGGACTGGTTGGATACCAGCTCCAAGGAGATGTCTCACCTGCGTACATGTGATAGGTCAGCCTCTCAATCAGTTTGAGGACCGTCCCGGCTTTGATGATGGGAATCCCAGACTTGGACTGGATGTTCTCCTCAAACACCACGTTCTCCTCCGAGTCTGGCTCGGCGAAGCTGTACTCCTCGGCCGACGGTAGCTTCATCTGCTCCTCCTTCTCCTGCAGCAGAGCTTTGTCCAGGATGCGCTCCAGCGTGCTGCGGTACTGCAGCGAAATCAGCGCCGCCATCCAGCCGTTCTTCTCCTCTGCGGATTTGGCCGAAAACACCACGCTGTTCCCATCCTTCAGGATGATCTCAAAGGCGTGCCGGTACTCGCCCTCCTTGTCGTCCTTGTCGTTGATCTGCACTTTGCGCATAAGGAACTTCTCTTTGAGGCGATACTCGGCCGTGGAGCCGGCGCCGGGCAGCCGAGGAGGCCCGTGGTTGGACTTGCAGCAGATCATGAGTCCGTCGAACAGGAAGATGTGGCGCTCATGTTTGGCGCCGACGCGGGTCAGTGTGCCCTCCATGATGAACTCGTTGCAGCACTGGCCGATGTCTTTCCCCTCCCATCCGTCGATGTTCTTCTGGATCTCGTTCATCTTCCTGATGGCGAGGTGCTTCCCCTTCATCTGATGGCTGTAGAAACGACACGCCGACTCACTGCGGGGGGAGAGAAATGAAACGGTACGGTCAGAGAAAAGCTTGGTTTCCCCTCCTGCTCCTCGTCCTCCAGCTGTTAGAGCTGAGGGTCAGATGCCTTCGGTGGCGTTTTAAGTCGGAGCAGCAGCTGAGAGGTTTCAAAATGAGCTCCGTCCTTTAGCGACCCCCCAATCCTTCCTTCCAACTGTTAGATTTTAGCATATTTGTTTCTCTCAGCAAACCCATTAAGTGTTTGCAAACAATTGTTTTCTACATCCAGACAGTTTTTGAAAACATTTTTTCCTGTTCTTCTGTAAACTGATTCCGTTTTTTCTAGGAGACTTTTTTTGAAGTTCTGAATTAGAAAAAGCTCAATCACATAATTAGCAGCATAAACATAGAACCCCATGTTAGTTAGAAGTTTACCCACAATTAGAGGAAAAAGACTGAAGGACTAAAAAAAGTCAACATTATCAGTGTTTATTTGTTTGCCTGATATATTTTGATTCAATTGAATCTTTTAGTGTTTATATGTAAGGAAATATATATTTTTTCCAGTTGAATCAACTTATTGTCTTATGTCTGCTTTTTCACCAATAGCTGCCATTAATGTGCCTGGTTTCTGATTGCAAAGCTATGTGTTAATGCAATTATTGTTCTTTTTACTTGCCATTATACCGGGGAGGATATGAAATGATTGACTAATGATTAATTTTAAATATTGGTTAACTGATGATGTCTGATTAGACTGAGGCGAACCTTCTTTACATGGGTTAAGGTGGATCAATACGAAGAGGAACCCATTAAAAATATACAGTTCATTTTCCCGAACTTGTGACAGTTTTCTTAAAAAACAAACCATAATAATTCAAATATTCCTGAAAAGTTTAAGTTAACGTAAGGCTTTAATGTTACCCCATCTTTAAATTTGTTTAACATCTCTGTGAATTTAGGAATAAATGTGCTTCACATATTTTATTCTCTTCCCCTTATTTTTTTTGTACTAGGTAACCGAACAGTTCTGATAAGTTACTTTTAAAAATATGTTTAAGTTGAATAATAGGCGAAAAAAAATTTTTTTTTGTTTAATTTGGTAAGCATTTTATCAGATGGCACTAAAACGTTTTAAAATTTGAGGTTCCCGTTTTTAACTACTGTAAGAACTTGAAAGATCATCTTGATACAGAAGAAGGAAAAATGGCCACTTATCAATAACTGTTAGTCGATCAATAAGATAAGTCGCTTTTAGATTAACTAAATAGATAACTTGCATCCCTGAATCAGTTTGTCAGCTCACACCATTAAAAACAGGATGACAGTAGGATGTTAACGTGTGCTTTTATTTTGTAATAGTGCAAATACCCTAAATGTTTCAATGGCTGTGAGACATTCAACAGTTATATTATAGAGAATGTCTTGGAGAAGAACTGCTCTGTAGCACCTTCCTCAAGGTAAAGGTCTGAAAACCTCTGTCCGGAATTTGTGTGCTTATCAGATATTTCAGTTGCTAAAGTGTTAAAAATATAATTTTTCCAGAATCGAAAAGTTCTGGAAATTTGAGAGTCAATATCCTAAATCAACTCTCATATTAATTACTATTTTTAGAAAAACATTTTCCACTGTCCTTACAGCCGCCATTAACTTCGATTACTTTATTATTTGCTGCTTAATTTTAATGATGATGACATCAATAATTGATCTTACATTGGAGAAATTTCTATCCGCTTGGGGAGCAGTGGGCTGCCATTGTGGGTTGCCTGGGGAGCAGTGTGGGGGTTAAGAGTCTCAGGGACCCAGAGTGGCAGTCTGTGGGAGGGGGGCAGAACCTCTATGCTCTAACCACTACGCCGCCACTCCCCGATGTTAAATCAATACTAGTGTTAATATGTTGCCTTATAAGACAGTTATATAATACAAGTACCAACAATCCCATTTGACATCAGATTTATGTTTAAAAGTATAAAATAATTAAATGTAATTATAAAAATGTTTTTAAAATTAATATTTTTTTTATTAAAAAGTTTTTAAATTAAAATTACTCCATTTACTTCAATTACTTTATTTTATCTGTATAAATACATACAGATAAAGTCTATAGTCCCTTTTTATTGCATGTGAGAAAACGCTTCGGGTTTGTTTGAATTACATGGATAATTTAATTGAATGCCTGCTCATATGTTGGAGCATTCAACTCCATTTATGTTAAACGGGTGGGGTTGTGAGCAGCACAGCAAAACATTCAGCCACCAATGAAAATGTATAAATTTTGTTCCCTTAATACAAAAAAGTTGTTTTAATATATTTTTAAGAAAGATGGAAAAAAACAAGAAAGTCCCTTTACAGCCTTTGTGCAGACAGTTCATGTAAATTATTGCCTTGCTTCAAAATGTGGAGTTTTCAGAGCGACAGAGCTCTGCTGACAGGGCTAGGCTAGGCTAACCTAAATATCTGTTTGCAGCTGAAATTGAATTTAAAGTGGTAAACACTGCATGTACAGAGAAATATAATCTGAGATTTTCAAATAAAACAACATTTTAAGTTAGTTTGATACTGATTATAAACTGATAATCTGCAGTTTAGTAATAAAAATATTTTAATAAAGTACTAATGATAAACAAAATCATCAAATTATCACTTGTGCATTTCTAAGACATGCTTTTAATGATAATCCAAGTAAGTAGAGTCTGGGCTCTGGTCTCTCCTCTGCAGGATCCTACAATCGACTCCACTGCCTAATCATCTTTAACCTAATATAAATATCTGCCAATAAATTGACAGGGGTTAGTAATTCCCTGTAAATGCAGACTGATTTTTATTACTTTTCTATTTTCACAAAATGTGGACAAAAAACACATTCTGTTTGTGCCGTAATTATCGGATATGAGATCTACTGATCCAGTACGAAGAACAACTAAATAATTCATACAAGTAACTGAATTTAAAGCTGATCATCTACTGCTATTAATCCGTTGAAACACAACAGGGATTAAAGGAGTGGCTGTGGAGGCTGTTGAAGAGGGAAAGTTTGCTTTCGTTCACCTTTCTGCTTTCCCACTGACACACCTGAAGTTTCCAACTGTGGGACAATAAAGGAAAATCTGTTATTTTCCTCTGTGCCTTCCTGTACGGCTCTATAACTAGTAACTGCTCTGCCCCGGTCATTACGTCCCGACTAATATGTTCCATGATGGGAACAGGTTTTGTTGACAATGGTTTGGTTCCTTTGACTGGTAGTCTACAGGCGAAAACTGCAGCAGTGTTATTGTGGATTCTTTATGAGATTGGGTTAATCTGGGTGGGAATGCAGGTTTAGGATCAGGCTGCTGGTGACCCATAGCCTCCAGTAACTTTATAACCAAAAGGAGGAGTGCAAAGATGTGCATTGGTTTGTTGCTTTTCTGTTTATCATCTGGCTGAACTCTCGGCTTATTAACATGTTCCTGCATTGTTTTGGACCACAGCATAACGTAGCGCTGCTGGGTTCAGAACTAAATCTTCTCAGTGAGTCGTCTGTGCCCAACAACAGCTAACGTTAGCTTAGCTGGAAGGTTTACTACTTCACTGCTGCAGAAATCAGTTTTTCTCACATTGTTTATTTCCCACTGCCTTTGTTCCTTTACGTTTCTCCCAAAAATAGGGCTGTGGTGTTAGCTTAGCATGTAGCACAGCTCAGTGTTTTGTTCTGTTTTTGTTAATTTGCTTTACAGGAAAGTTCCTCCCTGCAATGTTTTTATCGTTGTCTAGTCGACAAAGAGGGTTGCTTGTGAATTTAGTTTTTTCTTGATATTTTTGGAGCCTTTACGTCCAGAATTATTATGGTCTGGTTGAGCTGGAGGGAACAGAGGAACAGTCTCTGTTAGCGCTGCACTGCAGCCAAAAGTAGTGCAATATTTGATGCAAATGAGTTTTGACTAATTGAAGGTAATACCTTCAAGTTTACCTCCTCCCAGCCAGTAAGTGGCGCACTTGTGCTCGCCTGCCATCGTTCCGTATTATTTACCAGCATTTTTCTAGGTCCACTAATGCTAAACACATATTTAACTGATCTGAATAGAAGAAAAGTGGCGACCTCCAAATGACTTCAGAGTAGAGATGGAGGACATATAATCCAGATGACATCTTTGGCCGATATCAGCCGATTTGCTGATTCTCTACTGCATTCCCTCCATATGCTATCCATTGTTAATGTTATGTATGATTATTTAAATAAAGCTTTTTTTTTTTAGAGATAGGTTTCAGAAGTGTGACGTCATGATGGTTTTATCTTACGACCTCCTCTGTGGCGCTTCCTATCATTATATTCCCACTAGGTTAAAAGATACACAGAGAAAATCTGAGTTATTGGTTGCGATCTATATAAAGTCAATGCTTCCAGATTGTGCCTTTCAAGATCTATATATCTTATATACAACCCATCAGGGAACCAGAGTCGGTACTCAATATGGCCGCATGTAAATTCAAACATCTTTGACGTCAGCTGCAAGACATCAATTGAAACTTGTGTAAATTTTCTTATCATTGAATACTTCTTATCATGCAAATGGAGAAATCTGGATTCAAAAATCGTCCCTCACAAATAATTGGCATTATTCAATATCATGGATTGATTTGACTACTGGCAAAATAATCGCTATCGGCATTGGCCTTAAAAAACCTGTATTGGTCGATCTCTACTTTTGAGCCCCTCTGCTTCCTTAAAGGAAGGAGGGCAGAGGTACGTCCTATAGATCCCACTCCCCTCCCCATGGCCAGAATTTCTGCTCCACTTTCCGAGGAATGTTTATAAGTGCATAGAAAAACATGGTGGATAAGTAACAGCTCCAACCGGTGAGGGTTTAGCTAAATAAACTTCTAAAACATATTTCGATTTAGCCGATAACTATCACTACGATCGACACATTGAGAAAAACTTGTGGGAAGAAACTTCTGTCCCTCTTGGATGACAAGGATGAGGTTGGAAATCTTCCTCATGGAGTGTGGTGGTGTCAGCTTGCTGTCTGTGTGCTATACGGAGCCCTGGAGTCGGCCAGAATATTAGGGACAAGTAGAAAAGCTGCACAGCGATAAAAGCTGCAGACTATGGCTACGTTCACACGGCAACCTGCAGTGACTCAAATCCAATGCAACCTGTATCTGATCCTTTCATGGATGTCTGAACAACACAGATCCGATTTTTTCCAATGCGATCCAGGCCAACTGGTTCTGCGGTCCTGAATCCGATACGAATCTGATCTTTTCAGATGCGACCTGTGTGTGAACGGCCAGGTCGCATTCATCCGACCTGAACGCCATCAATACCTGACAAAGGTCACTATTCTGCGTCTTGGTATGAAGAAGCGGCAAGAAAAACAACAACCATGGCGGACGATGATGCGGAGAGCAGTATTTATAATTAACCATCTTTAAAAGATTGTGTTTTTATGGTTGGGAAAGATTGCTAGATGCGCTTCAGCGCTACCATCCATGTTTACTTCCATAAACACAGAGCATGCTAACCTGTGACGTCAAAGCGTCCTCTACTGCGCATGCGGGACACTTGGGTTGTACGACTGCAGTTTTCACAGGAGATCACATACAAGTCGCATATATCTGGAAATGTGAACGGCAACACAAACAAATCAGGTTTCAGAAAAAGAAAAAAAAAAAATCGGAATTAGGCATCAAGGCCTGCAATGTGAACCTAGCCTTTGTCTCCATGTGGAAACGTACATGGATCATACATAACTGCGTCTTAAGTCGGAAACAAGGCCTCATATACTTTTTATGTTTTCTCTCGTTTTGCTTCACCGTTTTCTTCTGGCTTGAATCTCAGAAATATAATGTAGAGAAGAAACCATTTCTTAGATCTTTTATGGAGCTGAAGGCAACGTCTTCTTGAAAGTTAATCACCTCAATAAAAAAATAGCTTTGATATTTGATTTCTTTTTAGCGTTGATTATATCAAGATATGGATTATTTTCTCAACCCGACTCGTAACTGACATCATCCAGGGAAAGAAAGTGGCCCAGAAACAGACTTACTATGCTGATTATCTTATCAGAGGCACAGGTTCAGTTTAGAGAATGATTCAGGTTCCTATCAGGATGCCTGTCTGTAAAAATAACAGATACGGTGGCGAGGAGGCAGTCGCAGGCCCACATCTGCTCACTAACCGGCTTTGTGGGTCGAAGTTCTGATGACGCGGTTTGTGTGTCCAGCCAGCAAAGGATTTCAGAAGCGCAAGCAAAACACTGAGTACATCCGCCATTATGGTTCTGATTAGAAGCCTACAGAACCACCTCTGATTCAGATGTAATTACTCCCGCTGTCATAGCTCTGAATTAAACTTCCTCTGGTTGGTCAGAAGGTCATCTCCAAAGTGCCTAAGGTCAATTACATCTCAGACAGCAGTTGATCGGCACAGGATCGAAGGGTTCTGAGCAGAATCAGAGTGAGAAGCTCAGAGAAATTACCAAAAACCCAAAGAGCTCCACCTCAAACTTTACATGTCTCAGTTAGAAGGTCAAAGGTTAAAGGTCGAGATAAGATGGTGAGGAAAACAAATGATCTGGGAGATAAATAAAGAACTCAGGATCTCCAGGTCCAGGTATGACCCCAGGTCAGAATGGATCTTTTCAGGGTTCTGAATTGACCCCAACAGGTTTAAACAGCCCCCCACTATTGCCCACAGACAGAAACACAAAGAACATGAAGCCCAACCTACGTCCGCATCTCCACCTGTCCATCTGTCCTCCTCGTCCCCGTCTCCTCCGTGATCCGATTCTCAAACTTTTTGGACCAGCTGCAGGTTTTTCTCTCTACTCCTCTGAGCTCTTTTCTGACTGAGAACAATAAGCAGCCTGGAAGCTCCGCCCCCAGCCTGCTGGAGCTTCCTGTCAACACCGGCACCACCCAGCCCTGTCCTCCTACCCCCCTACCACCTCCTGGTTTATTTTGATCCAACGGGAAACAGAGGATGGGAGGGGCCCTGCTGGCTGCTCAGCTGCAGATCCTGAGGCTGTTCCTGGGTTCTGCTTGGTCAGAACTAGAGAGATGGTTCTGTAAGACCACGAGTCATTCTAGAGACCTGAACTCCGGTATTAACTAGGGCTGTGAATCTTTGGGATTCCCACAATTCAATTTAGAATCGATTCTTGGGGTCACAATTCGATTTTTTTCCAATTCTTTTAAATCCAAACCATTCGATTCAGAAACAATTAATTTACGATTCAAAACAAACTCTGGGTGATGTCTTTCGTGATGAGAACGGGGATTTGAAGTACTCCCAAAATGATTAACTTTACCGTTGCAATCTCG